TCTAAAAAAATCCATAAGTGATTAATCGTTGAGCAGGCAGGAGACAGACTTATCAAGGGGAAGTTGCCCCCGAACCTAACTTTTCAATTAGTCAATTCTCGTTTCATCATCCATAGATGACGAAACACGAATTGAGTAATTATACATTTTTTTGGAATAATACATTAAATTTTTTGAAATTATATATTTTTTCGTGGTTTTAGATATGTGCAATTAATTTATGTATGCTCTTAGAATTTAAATAATGTTGTAAATTAGTATGCAACTAATAATTATTTTAATTTTTACTTCTTTGCAATTAAAATTTATTAATAAATTTTATTTGCTTTATATGAATAGAGAATATTTAAAAAATTAGAAAAGAAATTAGAAAACACACACACCCACTCTGTTACTCGACTGCATAAGCTAATTTTTTTTTTTTTTTTAAATTTGCGCGTTTTTTTGCTTTAAAAAGGATTGCATTATATTGTTCTTGTCTTCCGGTTAAGGTTTTTATGCCTTTAATTAGTCTGCACGGAATGTTTGTAGAATTATTAACAATTAAGCTGTTTAAGTGCAGCTAAGCCTAGTTTTCTTTCCATAGCAGCCACATTTGTTTACATTTGAAACGTAGCAGAATACTGAATTAATTCTTTCTGCACCTTTAGTGTCTTTTTGCTGAGTGGAACCAAAAGGAAACTCTTAGTTTTGTGCACCGAAAAATCTGCCTTCTTGCCTGCTGGCCGAATTGCATGTTTTTGTGTAGAAATCCATAATTTTAATTTAAAAAAATTTTTAAAAACTTTTACAGTTAAATTGGTGTTGTATGTTTGTCTATATCTTGCAATTTTTAATAAAGATATTTTTAGTTTTTATATATTTTTGCCTTGCCGCAAAGTAAAAACTGAATTAATTGAATGAGAAAAATATCTCTAAAAGAAATTTAAGGAAATAAGTGTTTCATATTAGCAGCAAACATTATTGCCAGTCTGTCTGGGACAGAGGAGAATGTTGACAAATAGCACATGTGCATTAGGTAAGCAGTGAATCTTCTGTGAAAAACTGTTTATTTTTTATTTGTTTAATTTCTTTTATACATCGTCTTAGATTTATTTATTATAGTATCTGAATAGAACACGTGGCAACAATTGATAATTCTTCAGATAATATAATTTTTCTTCAGTCTGAATTATAAAATGAATAAGATGTAAGTCTGTTAAGTGAACCTAGTGCCAGAGTGTTACTATGGTAAATAAGTATAATGAATTTTAAAGAGTGCATTTATTCTATTGTAGTTTATGCACTATCGATGAAGTAGATTTAATTCAATTCAATAAGTTCAAATGAAATGAGGAAAAAATGCATATAATTTAATATTCCATACAAGGAAGTCATGTGGTGTACACATCAGATTTTTTTACTTTTTAAATAAATGTGAGTCTTTTATCTATCTAACACTGTATTTTTTAAATTATTATAATGTAACTGTAGGCAAAAATAAAGCATTGGAAAGATATTAATTTTTTTATGTACATTATGTTTTGACTGAGTTTAAAATGAATGTAGTGCTGTAGCGTTTTTATTATTCTAAATTTACAACACTTGCTACTACAGTTTTGTGAATTTTCAGTAGGTCTCACATCTCATCCACACTTTATTTTCAAAAGAATGGCATTCAAACTTTTAGGTAAAATTACAAAATAATGAACAGTGTTTGTTCCACCATAAATGTGTAATATGGGTATAGGCTTTAAAGACACTGAATCATTTTCATTATTGAAAATATTTTTTGTAAGCAAGAAATGATTTCTATTTAATAGCCTTGAATTACATCTATCTTATAATTTCCATAAAGTCTCTCATATTCATGTATTCACTAATTTCTTTATAAACATAAATATTTCTTGAAATTGCAGTCACTATTGTACGTAGTTCATTTCCCCAAGTTTTAATATCTTCAGTATTATTTATTGATTCTGTTACACTTGCATATTCAAACAAAACACTCATTCTGTCAGGGTGTTCAAAGTACGCCCAATTAAAAAAAAAAAAAAAAAAAAAAAAAAAAAAAAAAAGAAAGTAACAGTATAACATTCTAAAGCATTTATGTAATTCTTGTATCCCAAATAAGGATAACAATAATGAACGGTATAGATATGATCCATCACCTTCTGTTTTCACTACTGAAAAATTTTCTGTTAAAGATCATAATTTTTTTGTTTCATCGGAAATCATTAGGATGAGACTTCAGTTCTGCATTACTTTCTATTAGACTTTGTTTTCTCATTTTCATAAAGTCTTTGTATGCTAAAAATATGATTTCTAAATGATTAGAATATTTTTCTTTAAACAATACTACTTTTATTTTATGAATCGCCACACCATTCTATCAGCAATTTGTAAAATTGGTTCGTCTAAATTTATAAGTTCAACGAAATTTAGTTCAGTATTTTTTAACTTCATGATTATTAATACTAGTATTACAAATTAAAACTGTATTTTGTATTTTTAATGATGAGTGTTCATTTTGCGCATACACAAAGTGTTCAAAATGTTAATTACATCAAATATTCTTTCACATTCCATATCAAAATTGAAATCCCCAGTAAGTATTAATGCTTTTTCATTTTCATATGTATTTTGACACATTTTCTAAAAAAGTATACAAGGAGGAGATATATAACCACTAGTAATGCAATACTTTTTCTGTTTTAATGCTAAAGAACTCTACATGATACTTTGTTTTATTTTTTTATAATTCAAATGTATGATACAATTTATTCCTATTGCAAAACATATAGCAACTCTTGGTGAAGAAGATACATTGAATCGAAATATTGCAACAAAATCAGAAATTTCAAATTTGCCAGTGTTTCCACAAATATTAAAATATCACCTCTATGATACCTCTTATTGCTTAGTATTAATCTAAATTGCTGATAGAAAGTTTATATTTTGCTATATGACTGTAATTCTATTAACTACTTTTAAATATGTCAGATGATAATTTCAGTGTTTTTTTCTTCACATAAATGCATGTTTTGAAACAAATCAATTGCATTCTTTACAAATTCATGTTGTAAATTATTTAACCTGAAACTTCAGATATTATTTAACATTATTTAACTTCAGAAAAAAAAAAGTTCTTTAAACTTCCTAAATCTAAAATAATATACTGGTCTTCTGTTACTTTTAATTTAATTAAAATATCTCCAGAAGGAAAAAATCTTCTTGTTTAAAAATATAACATTAAATTACTTATTTCAGACAAAGTGTTTGCAGTTTCACCAGTCTGATCATCATTATTTAATGGCTGTAAACTCATTATCCTAATTATAACAGGCTGTGGAAAATTAAATTGTCATTTTGTTTAGTTTTTTTGTAACTTTGTAACAGGTGTAAGTTTTTTAGTGATTTTAAATTGCCATAAAAACATCACTTTCATCATATTAACCTATAGGTTATAAATCTAGCTATAAATCAAACTCATTCTTTTACACTTTCGCTATTCAAAGGATCATATAGAGGCACCTCTTTAATCCAAAGAAAAATGTGTTTATGTGGAGATCCACATATTTGAAGAACTCAACCCATTCATAACTGTCCTCAATTAAATATTCATCAAACACACTATTTTCCCAGTTTAAAAATAACATTAATTTATTTGCTTTGTATTTGAAATATTGTGCACAAGTTACTGGATGTCGCGTAACTAATTTTGATTTTTCTGCATCATCTAAAAGCAACATACAAAAACAGCATGCCTTTTCAATCAAAACTGTTTTATTCAAATGTAATTTGCATAAGCACTAATAATTTGGTGCAAATAAACTGCCTATAATATTAAGAAACTTGGAGATTTTTTCTAATTGCCTGAGCATTGCCATTACATCATGTTTCTTTGATTCCCAATAGTAAAGCAAAGATTTAACTTGTTTTAAAATGTTATGACCCTGATCTAACTCAATTATACTGTATATAAATGCCTTATCTAAAACTCTTGTGCATCTGTGGTTTGTTTTCCTCAAACAAATATTTAAACTAGCTATGCATGATTTTATAATTTCTGTTTAGTCATAAAAGGAACCCTGTTAGGTATACATGACTTTCTGTTCGAATGCCTAATCTCTGATTTTGTCCAATCACCGTAAAAAATATAAACAGGAACATTCATTTTGTAACCATCAAAGGACCATTGTGTAACCATCAAATATCTCAGGACAACATAATTCATCTATAGCTTCTATTGCATGCCAAGGTACATGAGTTTTTCCTTCTCCTGTAGCTATAATTCTAATATTGTTAACTCTCTCCTCATTGCTATCAACTAACATAATGTCTAATTCTGCTCCTAATTTAAAAGCTGAATAAAAATCTACATTGTACGAAAGACTGTATTTTCTAATGTATGAAATGTATTTTTATCACATTTAAATTGATTTTTTTAAATGAAAGTAATTTTATCTTTCTCATACTATAATTTTATTCTTTCATGTTTTAAAATTATGTATCATACAGAAATATGTAATTTTAGAAATGAAACACAATAAAAAATAACTTCAAATTTTTATCTTTGAAGCCATAATATTGCTGTAACATAGAAATTGTTCCTGGTTGTTCTTAACCAAGGACTATTACATTAGTAGCAGATTACACTGTTGATATGGCAGATGTTACCTAAGTATTTAGATAAAAAACCTCGCTTAGAATTTATAAATAACTCGGGCTGATGTAATTTTTTTATCTTTAAAATGTAGAAACTTTGAATTTTTAATTTGTCTTTATTTGTTTTTGATAAAGCAGCTCTTCATTGGTATTCTATATTATTAATAGCAAATGAAGACTCCCTTCTTAATAACTGACATTTTCTGTTAAGCATCATTATTACAAGTGCATTTTATATGAAAGAAAACATGTATTCACATGTATGAGGAATTATCACTTGTTTTATTAGCAAGCAGAATTTCAGTTATTAATTGCTGCTAAAACACTGCCTAAAGATTTTATTTATATTTCAGTGTAAAGATACTGTCTTGACCAGTGATGGATTTTTACTTGTGATAAGATGTACAGATAATATCGGTGAATTACAAGCTGTTCAAGAAATGGTTAATCATGAAATAGCTGTACAGAGATCAAAGGATACTGGAGGTGATGATGGTAAGCATGTTTTAAATTGGTTGCTATATTGTTATAAGATTTAAATGTAATCAACTTAATATAATTTCATTATTTGCTATTTCTACTTTAATTTTATAGTAAAATACATTCCTAAATTTAAAAGTCTTAACATAAAAGCCAGTGTGTAATATATCATTTGCTCTCCTAATGGAAGTAATGATAACAGATTGCACCCTTTGATTGTTACATATTATAGTTAAAAAAAGTGATAATTACTTCATTGATTTCTATTTTAGAATATCCAGATGATATTGGAGAAGGTATTTTTAGTTGTATAAATAAATATTTTATAAGCAAATGTCTAGAAGGGAAAAATTGCATATCATTTTCTTTAGACAGTGCTAGTAATAATTTAGGAAAATTTAAAACTGCCACATCAAACAGCTGTGATAATTTGATGTTATCCATGCCACCTCTTGAATATGGCTGCAACAAAAGCTACTGAAAAATTAATTGGCTTTGAAATAAAAATTTTTTTACTATATAATATATTTAGAGAAAAGTTCAGGAAGGAATCATACTTCAAACTTGCTCAACAAATTCTGGGTTTCGAATGCAGTTTCATAAAATTTTGACACACTGCAGTGTAAGATGGCATTCCTTTTTAGAGTCCATAACAACTATTCTAGAACAGCATGATGCTCTAATTTCTTTTTAATATGTTATTATTATTAATTATTATTTATTATTTTTGTTTAATCAAACAGTAATTAGAATGAAGAAAAGAGGTCACAAAACATTAAACAGAATTTTAAATTCTCCTATCACCAAATTAGACTTTTTTATTTTTAAAGAATACTTTATCTTATGTTTATAATATTAACTATTAATTCACAACAACAAACTCTTTATATACGTAAAATGAGGAGAGAACTTATTGGAGCTTTTAATGAATTGTTTGTTAGATTCATAAAATCATCAGCAATTTCGGAAGAAGATGCAATAGTCATTATGTCATCTGTTCCATTTCAAAAGTGCATTTGTAATAATATATAATTTAAATGCAACCTAATGTTTTCTATTGCCAGAAAGAATCAGACTGCATTTTGATCAAATTTTAGTATGAAAACTCAAGCAAATCTGAAAAAGTAAGCATGAAGACTGCTGTATTACAGAAAAAGATTCTCTTAGTGATAACTTAGCCATGCTAAACATGCTGTTTGCAAATTTTTCACTCATAAATAAATTTTAAGTATTTTTGATGATAAATTATATGTACATTTCTTGTTTATGTAGAATTAAAATATATTTTGTTCATTTCCGTATAGAAATTGGGATCATCTATAAAACCTATAAAGATATATAGTTTATGGATTCTGATTTTCCTTTCATATGATAATTTATTATTTAGAGTATTAGCTTCAGGAATATATTAATGCAGAGTTCGTAGTGACCCTTACAAGTGCTTATAAGTCCTTATATTTGAAAATAAAATATAAAAGCCCTTATAGGTGCTTACTTTTTCTCTAAAGCACTTTTCTTTGTTTTTAGTGCTTTTTTTTTTTTTTTTTCCCTTTTAGTGGCTTCTTTTTTTTTTTTTTTTTTAACGAATGCACATTTTTTCCCTGTATCAAAAGCTGAAACTAAATAAACACATTTTGTTCCTTATATGGAATGTCAGATGGTGAATCATACTCTTCGAAAAAATAGCTTTTTGCACCCTTTTTCTGCATTAACGTAACCTTTTGGTGCGTGTGAGTACAAACAGGTGCATGTCGTTCTATTGTTCAAAGAATTGCGAAAGCGGTAGAAAATTTCAGTACATTCCGTATTCTCTTGCTCCTTTCAAATATTACACACGTTTGAATTTCTATCAAAATTTTAATAATTTACATTCTTGTTCCACGTGGTCAGTTCATATTCGCATTTATTATGATCGGTATGCTTATGAGTATAAATGTATGTATGAATATTTATAATAATATATTTGCAGTAACTGCTAAAGTATAGATAAACTTCAAAAAATGGGTAAATGTGTTTTAACACAGATTAGTTTTCTAAGGAATTATATTCGGAATGGCATAATTAAAGTGAAAGTAATTCAATAGTCAAAATAATATTTTTTTCCTTTGCCAATGCATTACACAGAATGGAAGTTGGGGGTTCTCCCCTTCTTTGCAAAATCTCGAATATTGCAACCGTTACAGTTCGCAGCAAAGCAAGCAACTGACTTTTTCTTTTTGGTCACTTTCCAACCTGGATTGAAAAGGACTAAAAGTTCTGCGATCTACTAACCCAAGCGAAGAACGATTGTATTTCGGAAATTTAACGAAGTCTGTTCAAAATTAGAATGAAAAACACCCCAGATTGTTAAATCTCTATTAATCAATAAAAGTATCGTGAAGTGTCCTGCTCAATGATAAATACGCCACACGGGCGCATGGCGGTGAAAACTGGACAAAGCAAAGAGGCGTTTTCCTTTATTTAGTTATTTATTCTCTAAATACTGGCAGCTGCTGATTTCGATTGTATAATATCACATGCAGAAGAATTAAGGCGCACATATTGCACAATAACGTTTGCGATATTTCACAGAGATAAAAGAGTTTTACTGTGCTTGCTAAGCAGATTATTTTTCAGTTCCATTGGGCTATTTTTGGTTATTTTCAGTTCCATTTGGCCATTGGGCTATATGATGCACATATCGAAATGTCAAAAGCATTATTTAGCTGAAAATTCTAAAGAACGGCTACTCCCTTCCTCTTTTACCAGTTATGCTCGACTATTCAGAATTTTCAGATATTTGGCAGTTTCCGAGTATGCCAGTTTCTTTATTTTGACCTGAAATTTCATCATTAAATCTTGTAATATAATTTAGTTCTGCATAGTTTTTTTTTCCCTCTCATTGTAAACTAGTTCTGTAAATGAGCTGTTTTTTAAAATTAAGAAAAAAAGAATGTAATTGTTTTCCATTGTTGAGTAATGCTCATCCTCTCTTAAATACTGAATTTCTCATATTTTAAATAACAATTCTAATTTTTCTTTTAAGGTTATGCAGTTGTGTATAATGCAATTATTAGACAGGTGCTTATGTTTTTCTTAAAATGTGCTTGAAAAGTGTTTATAAGTGCTTATTTTTTTATCTAAAATAACCCTGTAATGTATTTAGTATTATCTGAGCAATGAAATAAAAACATTTGACTAAATATGCATATTATTTAAAAGACATATTTTTAATTTTTCAGTTTTTTATATTTATGGATTTTAAGTTTAATATAGACTGTTTAATTTTAAAACATATGTATGTAAAATATGAAACAAAATTATTAAACTTAATTAGAATCAACTGGCAATAGACCTTCAAACTCATAAATTTTAATTAAACACATCCCTTCTTCAAAGATATGCTTTCCATTATTTTTTGTCACTCTGCTGCATGTTACATCACTTTTTCCCTGCAATCTCTGTGCAGTTGACACTGATCTTATAACCAAAAGTGTCAGATTGTCAACAATTTATAGCATATCATATTGTCAAAAGCCATATGTAACAACATATTGTCAAAATTGTTAATTGATTTTAATTCAAGTAATTCTACATTTCCAAAAATGTTCGTTTATGAAATAAAGTTTCATTTTTCTTCATGTGAATTTCTACACTTATATTTACTTATGGTGTTATTAATAAATTGTCTTTTTATTTCATTTTTGATAGATACTGATATAAAGCAGCAACTTAGTAGTTTGTTCTATGTTCGTAAAGTTGTTGAAACACAATTACGTAGGCTTAGTGAGGGTACAGTTGACACTGATTCTACAGGAATGCCAACAGTAAGCTGGACTTTTTTTTAAAACCTGTGCTCATGAATTGTGCCTTTTCTGGCAGTTTCGACAAATTTGAAATGAATATGTCTTATTTTAAATGTAATGTTTTTTTTTATTACCGTTAGTTTTTTAACTGTTTACCTGTAAATGATTTTATATAGAAACATCAATTTTTTTAAATGTCAAGCTGTTTTTGTATTAATGGGATTTTTTAAATATATATTTATTAGTTCTTCATATGTTTTCTTTAAAGAAATGCCAAATGTGTTATCTAATGGTTCTGGTGTTTGCTTTCATTATTCTATGTGCATAGAAATAGTTAATGCAATAGTTAGCATAGAAATGCTAACTATTGCAGGTTTTCTGTAATTATTACTGATTTCTGCCTTCTATTATGGAATTATGGATGTGATGAAAGTACTATGGAAAAGGCCAATTTTTAATATCATTACTCTGAATAAGCAGACATGAAAAAGAGCAAAGCATATGATTGTGTTAATGTCATGATTGATGCTGTAAATTTACTCAAACTGACTGTTTGAGCTGACTGACTTAATGTCATGTGCACTTGAATGTGAGCAATGTTAGGCTTTAAGATTTTCCTTTTTGAAACTGTAAACATATGTATATGATTCCAGCATGTCTTTATTATTATTATTATTAAAAACTGTTGTAATAGATATCTTTCCATATTGCTTTCAAAGGGGCAAAATGTTCTTAAAAATACATTTTGAATAAAAATTGTAGTGAAGAGTGAAAATGCTTTCTTGCATACTTCAAAATTTTCAGAAAATCATGTTGTGTTTTGTGTTGAGTTATGACTTTTCAGTCACTCATGGTGGTTGTGACATTTGCAGTCATCACATGCAATCTGATACACAGCAGGACTGCATGAAAATAAAATTTACATCAAAAACAGTGTTATTATTTTTCATGAAAAACAATAATTCTTATAAATATAGAGCATTTGTTCTGTTTATATCTGATGAAGCACAATATTAAATTTGCATGTCTGACCATGCAAATTTTTTATTTTGACCAATGTTTTCTGAGTTTGCTGTAGCCAAAAAACTGCATATGAAAGGAATAAAGCAACCACTTTGATTAAGTATATGCTAAATTCTATAAGAATAGAAACTGTTTAAGTGTTACAAAATGCATCATTTGTTTTAAGTACTGGTGGTAGTTTGAGTCTTAGTATGAGTTTTATAAACTTACTGTTTTATACTTTGGTAGCTGTGAAAGCTAAATATGCTCATCATTAATATCATTGCTGGAATCCACTGATAATTCAGGAAAAGGAATTTCCAGTGTTTTAAAACAATAATTTTGCTTAAGTGTATATTGTGGGGGAAATTGTGTTGCTTTCACTTTTCATAATGCTAGCATAGCTGAGGGCTGTCCAAAAGGCTTTCATTCGAAAAGTTCAGCCTTCTGTAATTCTGCAAGGGTAATTCTTTCTGTAATTCTTGCCATTTTCTCCACATAGCTGCTCATAATGTCTCAAGTCAGTTCATGGATAAATATTTAACAACTTGTAACTGTATAGAACAAGACCTTTCAACTGCATAGAAACTTTGCTGTCTATTCTTCAGTAATTACTTTTCTCTTTTTGTTTTCAGTAATGTGTTTCTCATAAGCTTCCCAAATTCATGGTCTTTGGAAGAAACTTGGTGCTTTTAGATTTAAAAGTGAAATTATGTAACCTATGATCTTTAAGACATGTTAATGATGCATGAGTTTCTAATGTTGATTTTCCTAGAAGGCAAATCTAGAAAGATAATCTTGAGCTGGTAATTGATTTGAAGGGTAGAGTTTACATTCTGAAAAGAACTGGAATAACTTCATAGGCCTGTCACTTTCAATCCAATGTGAGTGAATTTTACAAATCAAGTTATGACTACATCTTCAAGAAAATGCCCATTAAGAATGAGGTTCTTAAGCATGCAGATATAGTGAATGCTGTCTTAGAGAAGGAAGATTTTTATTTTCTTCTTTTCACTGATTTTTTTTTTTTCCTTTGTGTAAAACCTTGTCTGTTGATGTTGACCAATTGGAAACTAAACTTGGAACATGTAGGTACACATGGTATGTAGCTGCTGCTTTAACCATAAATCATGGAAACCTTGCCCTAAGGCACTGGCAGATAGATAGCGAATACAAGTGTGTAACACACTTTGCCAAGAGGCAAAATAAGTTTCAAGCACCATAAAGAGCAAATCTTGAAAATAAATGTAAAATTTTGCTGTTTGAGCCGTGTTTTCTTCAATGTAAATATTAGATTTTAGCAAAGAGCACTGTGGCAATTCTGATTGGCTGGTGCGTATCATGTGAGTAAAACACCTAAATTTCAGACCCCAGCAAGTGAATCTTCAGAGATCTGAATCATTATTTTTTTTTTTAACGATGGTAGTTCTGAATAATGATCGCCGACACATCATGATGAGTCTTTTGTTGAGGTGTTTTGGCAGCAGTCCAGTGCTAGGTGATAATATAATTTTCAGTCAAGTGAAGTGTGTTACACACTTGGTAACACTTGATAGGTTTTGCTAGGTAATAATATAAACAAAGTCTAAATGCTTTGCAAGAATTATTTACACAAAGTCTGTTCGCTTTGCAAGCTAGAAAACAAAGTCTGTGCTTTGCAAGTGCTGTAAGCATAGTTATATCCTTTGCCAGTACTGTTAAATGAAAAGAAAAATATATGCACTATTTACATTAAGTCTTCGTTGAAATTGTGTGAGAATTTTTAATTGGATCATGTTGCATGGATTTTGGTCATTTGGCAGCATTTTTCAGTGTGGGATCATAGTTAATTAAATTCTTGATGTGATCATATCTGGACTGTTGGATTGTTTCGAAGAAGTTGTGGCTTGTAGTAAGAATTTTGTCATGCATAAATAAAATTGTTAGTTCTTTATGGATTTGATGATTTTTCATAAGCCAAGGTGTATTAAAAATTTCATGAAGTAGTTTGTTCTGAACAACATCTCTTTTTTCGTGTAGGTTTTAAAGACTGTTGCCCATGCCAGAATTGCATATAATAGGATCGATAGAATGAGCTTTAAATAGATTTTTCTTTTAGTTCTGATATGTAACTTTGATTCCTTTCCAATGAAAGAGCATAGAGCTAATTTTGCAGCTGTGGCTTTTTGTAATCTATATTCTGTATGTTCTTTGAATAAAAGTTGTGCGTCAAAGGAGATGTCTAGATATTTGACTGAATTACAAACCACAAAATATTTAACGTTTGAATACAAATGGTATTCTTTAGTTGCAAAGCATCAGTTCTCTTCTCACACTTCACAACTGAACACAGGAAGAGAGCATAAATTTGGTCGTTACCTTCAAGAGCACCCAATAGAATTTTAAACAAATTATGAACACAATAACTGCCAGCCTTGGAAACTGAATTTGCTTCTTACCACTTCACTAACTTTTATGAGAGATAAAATAAAATATAGAGCATTCCTCGCTCTGTTAAACATAGCAACGCTATGTGTCCACCCCAACCATTGAATCAGGCCCAGGAGATACACTCCTGTCCTCCCATCTAGGAGAGGGCTGGTGTCATTGCCGTTAGGTGACACTGGTTGTTAGTTTGCTACCTGTTAGTTACAAGGGCTGGCCATCACCCAAGGACATTATGCAGAAAACATCATGGGGTGTCACCCCTGGCTATTACAACTTTAAGCTATAGGATGTGCCAGACCCACAGGCAGACCGATAATCCATCTTTCCGGGGCCTTTAGAAGCACTAGATTTGTTATTTGTATTACCCTGTGGCTAAGACTGCCAAGGTACAGATCCTAGCCAATAGCTTTGCAGAGTTCTCTGGATCAACCCCCCGGGAGGGGATTTTGATGAGAGAATTCTTGATGCTTCTCCGATCAGTGTAGCATTTCAACACATTTAAAGATTGCAAGGTAAAAGTGGAGCTGAATAGATTTGGAGAGCTCAAGAAATTAATGTTGTTTGTTACATTAATGCTTTGCAGCAATGCACTATTTTATCAGATTTTAATTAAAGTTTTCCACCACCGCAAATATTGTATGCGTAAACACTTCACATTGGCATGCTTAGTCATATTTTTAAAAGATTTTTAGCATTTGGAAGAATGAGACTTGCTTTAGAACACTGCATTGTGAAATTTAAAAAAAAAAAAAAAAAAAAAAAAAAAAATTAGTATCATTAAGTGCAAGGTGTCTGAAATGGAGCTATCACATTACCAGATTATAATCATCATTTACTTCCAGTTCTGTTGCATGTTACCAAATATGTACAGCTTCAGATACTACTGTTATATCATATGAAATTGTGAAGGTTTGGTACCAAAAGTTAAAAAACTCAAGGACTGTGACATTCAAAAAGCAGAGTACTCTGGCTGGCCTGATGAGGCCCCACTCCTGCGAGAACTTGTGGAAGAAGATTAGTATGCAAACTACTTGAGAGTTTGCTAAGGAGTTGAGCATTAGTGCCATGCCCATTGGTTGTGCTATGCATTGCATAAACTTGATGTACAAGTTCTGTTGTGGCTTGAACTTATACAGAAACTTTAAATACTGATTGTTTTCCGTTTTCAGTTGTTTTGTTTGTTTTCAGAATGGCAACAAAAAGATTATTCAATTTTTGTTGTTCTTGGAATGGCAACAAAAGATTAAAAGATGTTCTAAAGAGTTGTTTACATTTGCTAAAAATTAAATAAAGATTATTTTTGATTTAAAACACGGATTGACGTTATTTGATTAAATGGAGTTGTAAAAATAAAGATTAATTTGGAGTCAGAACCAATAACTGGTGACTTGGACTTTCGATTTTAAAGTAAATATGTCTGAAGATGATAAAACTGTCACAGATCCTGCACACGAACTGTGTAAGGTATGTGTCAAAATTCCTCCATTTTGGTTGGATCGCCCAGAAATATGTTTTTTTCAAGTTGAGGCTCAGCTTAAAATAAATGGAATTATTTCAGAAGAAATAAAATTTAACTATTTATGATCACAGTT